CTCATTATTTATTTATATGGGAATGTGGGTGCCGTTGCGGCTTGAGGCCCAAATGTCAAGGGGATATTGGCAAAGAGGCGTTGAACAGCCTGAGGAATAGCAAGTCTGACGACGCGATGAAAAGTATTTATAATTTAAAGTAATTACTACGTTTGAGAATCCTGTATCATTTTCCGTGATTTTACTGTTACATTTAATTTAATAATTTATTTACATGAAAGGTGTATTTGGGTGTCTAAAATATTGTATGCAACAATATATTTGAAGCTATGAGTGTCGACTAGCCCTTATTTGTTGCATACTTTTAGACACCGTAAATTAAATTAAAAAAGGGATTTAAGACTGTAGGTAATGGTACTCCCATTTTTTAAACAATCGAATTTTCTTGAATTTTCAAGTATTTTGTATCTGCATTTAATGTACAAGAAAATAAACTCTCCATATTGATTTTAGTCTTGAAATGTTTCCCTCCATTACTCCAATTAATCTTTGCTTGTGGCGAGTGCGGAAAAATGAAACAGATAAGACCTCGTCTGAGGCTCGATTTTTACGCCACGCGCCCTGGAGAGTTGAAAAGTATCTCCGCTGCCACAGGATAACCATGCATCATGCCAAGGTTGATTTACGGTTTGCAAATCAAGTATACGCAGTGACCGCAGCTCAACCGCAGCTGTGTGAAAATATTCTACACCCGAAATGCTTTAAAGCACAAAGCCAAGTGTAAATAATTACCTCTAAGGGTAAGCCTAATTTGCATAATTCGGTTTATTTATTCTGATTTTTCAATTAGCCTAAGATAAGTTCTGCGGAGGTCAGAGGTCAGACCTAAGCTCGCTTTGATTTGGGCCAAAAGCGCTTAAACGCCGAAACGCCGAGCAATTACAAACATGCGCCACTCCGGTGAAAAACCAGCATCACGCAGTTTGAAAGGCTGGCGTGGAAATTCCTTTTCTATTTGCCATTCCGACGTGATCCCCGGATCCAAAGAGTCGTGACTGGGAATCAGTAACGGGTGGACAGGAGCAGTTTCCCGATTTTCGCAGTATTTGGGGGGATTTTCAGGGGTAAGGGTGGCCCAGAGATGCTGTCAAATCGACGCAGGGCATTAAGCAAATAGGAAAATTTGCTCGCCCCCTTGTTTAACTAACTGTGCAAACGACGGCAACCGTTATGGAATCTCAATTAGGAAGTGTCGCTGCAACACGATTTTCCTCAAACATTTCCATTGCCCTCCAAAAAAAATCTTGTTGCCTTTGATTAAGCTTTAAGTGCATTAAAGAAAAAGTATAATTTTTCCATATTTTCTAGGTTATCCTTTCAATTTTGTTTTGTTTGCTCGTCAACTTATGTAAATTTCACAGCAAGATCTCTATCTATTTATGCAAATATTAAGCTCAACAGCAGCCGAATGATATGGAATTTATGCAAAAGCGAATTAACCAGCAAGTGAATTCGAGCAAAAGGGGTGACTGGAAAAATTGAATTGAAGCTTAAACCTTTAAGTGGGATATTCCTCAAGGACAAAAATGTTTTCCTTGAAGTTCAGCAGAGCAGAAATAATTATATTAAAAATTTTTATGGCTTTAAATGGTTTCGCTCAAAGAATAAACTTTGTGATCTGTAAAAGGATTCCCCTGTGTGGTTGGGTTTTTTCCTAATAAGCATGTGCAAAATTATTCCCAGAAGGGTAACTTAAGAGTATCATGATTTCTTTTGGATTTTATGAAATCAATTCGGCTTCTTTTCCACATCCCTCGAGCCAAACCAGCGTATCAAGTTCTTTTTTCGGCCTAAATAGACACATTTTTTGAACCTTCTGCCACTCAGACTCACTCTTCTGGGCCTCTTGGTTGCGTTGGCATTTCTCAATTTCATAAGCAAATATACATTCACAATTTAGTCTTCATTAACAAGCTCCGAAAATGTGTACATCAAAGAAATCAAAGCATTCCCTGAATTTGTTTTTATTTTAGAGCTCCTCCCCTCTCTGGTATTTTGCATTTAAATGTCGACACAACGTTGACGTCAATGGCAGTTTATATTTTCGGTTCACTCTTGTTATTACTTGATACAAATTGTTTCCTTTGTTTGCCAGAAGACACTTGACGGGCGGCAAGCCATAAATGTTTGCTGCTATTCTTGTGAGCCAAATATAAACCCACTGTTGGCTTGTCCTGTTGAAATCTAAAACAATCCCTGCCTTTATTTTTAGTCCATCTCCGGCATTGAATTCCCTTTAACCACAATCTGATTATAACCCTGTTTTGTTCCAGAGAAGTCTTGCAGAATACCATAGTTCAAGTGTCGTCGTCAACTGCTCGGACTAATTAAAATGCAAACTTCGGGCCAAAGTTTGGCCATGTGAGAAGTGCTTTTGGGACAACTGAAGCCTTAATTAACTGACGATTTGGGTTTTATGGCCTGTGACTTTGGCCAAGTTATGTTACTCGCCACTAAAAGTTGGTCAAAGTACCCCGGTTTGTTGTTGCTCTCGGTGGTCATTTATCTTCGCTAGATTTTTTTTTGTGGCTTCTCTGATAGACTGACAGACCGACAATCGTATCAAAGGCAGTTCGCCAACTTGGCCAAAAGGAAAGAAAAAGGGCTCATTTGGGCCCATTCAGCTAGACATTGACCAGTCCATTTGGCCATGTCAGTTTATCTCCTTCTTGGCCCATCGATCTGGCCATTACATTTGAAGTGTTATGGCCAGGACATCAGCACGTAACACGGGTTTCTTTTGGCCAACATCCCACTTCAATGGCTTGGAAGTGAACGGGAAAAGAATGGCCCGGCAAATTCAATTAAAGAGTTTGTCTAGGAAAGTTCAATTATCATGTTTGAGGAGAGAGTTTTTTACTTTACTTTTTTTAGGAATTTATTCTTGCTACTTTCTCCTGCTACCAGTACTTTACAGTTCGCCTCTTTTTTGGCTAATTAAATTTGCAAAAGCTTTTGCCTGGACAACAGTATCCTTTTAGTTTTTAGAGTCCTGACTCACACTCAATGACCTCTTGGCCGCTCTACTAATTAGTCTACGAAATTCTTGTTATTTTAAGCTGCTCAGCCAGCTGACCCCGGGTTTATACAAGTATTTAGTAGGGTCTTAGGTGGAATTTATTTGCTTTTTTCGTCTGCCAGTGCAACAAGTGCCTTACCAACCTGAGAAATGCCCCCAAGGGCCAACAGAAACCGGACTTTTGGTTGGTAAAAGGAAAGGAAAGAGCCTTCTGGCCATTTAATATCTTCACACTTCTCTCTTTCAACTACTTTTCTTGGCCCTATTTCGTAAGTCCCAGTGAAAAGGAGAGTGCGCTAATGAAAACTGCCTTAAATTATGCTGGGCGAATGCCCCGTTGAGTCCTTAAAAGTTCACTATCTCCTTTTTCCCTCCAAAGGCACGACTGCATAAATTCTCCTTTTTTAGTTCATAATCAATTTGCCTTATCACCCCGGGGAAAATATTCACGGAACGTGACACTTTTTATGGCTATCATGTCAAATTTTAAAGGGATTTTTGACTCCTTTATGAACCGCTTTGTTACGCATTTTGAACGAATTGCTCGGTTGGCGTTTTCACTTGTCATGTACCGGAATTATTCCATTTAATTATTGCCTTTTATGAATTTTCACAGGCTGACGACACATTTCCGGAGCTGAAAGCTGCACCCACATTTGGGCCACATATATACAATTCCGATTCGGATCGTTTGGCCTTTTTATGATCCCATCAAAAGGCGCGCAATTAAGCCGCTTATGTGGCAGGCCCTAAAAAAGTGAGAGAGGAGGGAAAACAAACCCTAAACCAGGCCTACATATGCATGAATTTCCCAATAGAAAGTGGAAAGTGGGTGGCTCTTTTCGCCTGCTAAGCTCGCAATTTGTCAAATTAAGTTTATGACTCTGTCGCGGCACAAAGCATTCCATTTCAATCACACAAAAACGCAAATTGCGTGTCGAACAAAACGAGACTGGGCTCAACACTTAAACTCTTTCCCGTCGTCTTGGCCCTATATAAGAAACCGGGAAAGCAGTTAAAACGCTTAATTTATGCTCGTCGGGGGTTAAAATGCTCCCATTTTGTGGGGCCTCGTAAAATATCAGCCAGCTTTCAGCGAGCCGAACAAATTGAATTATGTCGACTTTGCCAAAGATTTGACGGTGTCGTCTGGCTGAGAAGGTTGAAAAAATTGGTTGGGATGATGCGCCGGGAAAAACTCGTATAATATCATCTTGAAAAATTATATTTGCTTAAATAAAAATATCAAACATTTCAATTGTAAGGCCCCTACCCACATATTTCAAACATTTTAAATCATTTTTGTTTCGATTGCCTAACTTTATTAAAAGCCTTAAGGCCCTATGAAATTTTTATTTGATATTTGACTGACAGAATTTAAAAGGCCATGGCAACGTAAAAAACATATCCTACAGCCTAACAACATTTTGTAAATTTATATATTAAAACACGTTTTGTTTTCCGTGACTTTGAAAATTAAATCCATTGGGTCATTTAAGAAATCAGAGTAAATCAAGCAAGAGTCATAATGCCCTAAATAAAGGTTTTAAAACATATATAAATATTTTCACTGTTTTTAAAAGAAGATTTTTTACATTTTACAAATTTTTTCTTGCCTGGTTTGACATTTGTAAAAATATTAAAATATATACCGCTTTCACTTTAAAAAACCATATCACCGAAAAAGACAATTTAACCATAAATTGTAATTTTTCGTCAATTTAATACCTTTCCCGTGGTTTTTTCATAAAAACATCACAATTTAATTACACTTTACACACCATTTTTCAGCTGAATTTTTACTGTGTGCTAATGTAAAAAAATGGTCTTTCTTTTGGCCGGTTTGGTCTCACAGCTCAACGGCTTCCTCTTCCAATTTTTCAAGGCTGCTCCTGTCCTTTTTGTTGGCCAGGATGGGGTTTGCTTTGTTGAGGTCACAGCCTGGTTGGGACTGAAAAAATATTCTGTCGCCAAAGTTGGCAAAGTATCTAACGTTTATTAAAATTTGGCAACAGGGGAGAAAAATCAGGCAAATGAAAAAAAAAGCTAGGAAGACTTTCAATAAAGGCAATCGCCCGTGGCCTTGAGCAGAATTGATGCAACACTTGTTGAAAGCCCCCTCAGACGCTCTATTAAACCTGGCAAACACTCCGTTCGAACGTGAGGCAATCTCAGGTGCTTTGTCAATTATTTTGCTGGCCAAGAAGATGGTTTCAGTTTGTTTCTGGCTTGTCACGTTTAGGGTGTAAATTTGCATATGCATATGGCCATGTAAACGAATCTGGGTCGCCCCATCTGGTTAGAATACAACTAATCCCGCTCCAATGTCGCCTTCACACACTCCGATTCAAGGTGAACTAATTGCCTTTTTGGCCAAATGGCTTAGGCCAACGTTGTTGTTGTTGATGACGCAGGTGGAGGTTTTCGCTGGGGGAAAGAGCATCGTTAATGGAAAAGACGCCGAGTATAAATACTCCCCTTTGCCGGCAACTTAAATGGGTACCGAACATTAACGACAAAGTTGCACAAAAGTTACCAAACTCCCGTCCTACGCCGCAAAATGCTGTAAAACATGTCGGGTCCCCAGTGGAAAATGGTCGCCCTGCGGCTGCCTATTTAAATAAAATGTAAAACATGATGTCCTGACTCTACACAATTCCTCCTGGTTGGCAAATATTCCAGCTTAATCCCAGCTCACCGCAGTCATAGTTGAAATATGCAAAGTTCTGTGCCAGCAATCATCAATCAACCGTCAACCGAAGCAGGAATGTTGAATGCTGAATATTGCATTTCGAGTTTTGATTTTGTTCAAATTATTTTTCACATTCATCTGAATCCCCCGGACAGATGGACAAATGGACAGGTCGATCCGGTCGAAGTATCAAAGCCCCGGCAAAGTTCTTGGCAAGCGGAAATTTCGGGTCAAAATCAGTTCACAGGATTTCGTTTGAACTAAGTGGGAGCCACAAAAATGTTATGCTATCCCCGATAGATTTTTGCCAAATGTCATATGAAATTTAATTTCGGAATGATTTTATCATCAGGTGTCAAATTTCCTAGAATTAATTGTCACCTAGGAGATTTGAAATACAAAGCAACTAATAAAACTGAAATTTAATATTCAGTTCCAATTATTTTCACTTTTTAAATTTAAAACAAGTTGGGCCAAGTGTCATCAAAAACTAAATTTTGAAAGTATTTGAACCACACTTTGCCAACTTGGACCAATTAAGTGTTCTATAGAAAAGGAAATAATATAACTGAAATACAATAAGTATAAATACTAATCAGAATTAATTTCCAAGTAATATATTCCCCAGAATTTACTGTAAATATTTAAATATGATTATCTTTGTATCATATATAATTCAAATAAAATGTAAGAGAAGTTTAAAATTACCTAAACTCTCACTACCACTATACATAATGGTATTAATAAATCACGAATAAATTGAAGCGCCAAAACCATTATCTTGGACCCCATTTGTTTTGTTAAATCAGAGCCAATTGTTTATATTTCCTCTTAATTGTGGAGATGCGCCGAAAAAGTTTTTACCACACCCAGTTTATCGCAACTGCCACGCATGTTCTTCAGTCGCATGTGTGGAAGCTCTGTGCCATTTAAAAAGTTTTGCCAACTTGGTCCATCGCCTCATCTTACCCCAATCGCATTGTGATGGCTATTAGCCGGAATCATAAACAACCTCAAATTTGTCCAAAGCAATGACAGAGGAACAACAAACGCCCCAAAACTTCCGCACTCACTTAAGCCATGTCATTTCAATTATTTTAGCAACTTTATGATCAACACGAGCCACAAAAGCCCGTAAGCCGAGAATAAAAATTTCAGTTGTGTAGCCAAGTAAATCCCGAAAGAAAGGCATTAAACTGGGTTGCCAGGATGAGGGAGCTCACTAAATAAGTAAACTTAATTTGGCAAATACGTACATTTGAACCGAGTGGCATTAAAAACTTGACGGCTCGCTTTCTGGCAAATGGCAATTGTTGTTATAAATATTAAATCAACATTATGCGCGGCCCATAAATTCCACAAACGGGAGGGAATAATAAAAAAGTTAAGAGAAATAAAATCAACCGCATGTCCGTCTTGCGCAGATTTATTTGGCAGCCAACATGACGTATACGCCACGTGAATCGCCAGCTCGACTGCCCTCCACTTTGTATTTTTTACTTTGGCTTTTGCTTTTGTTACCTTTAAGAATTCACTGGGTCACTTTTAATTTGCGAAACGGGTCACTTTGACTTTATTTTTCTCGCCACCCGGTGGCATGCGCAATATTAAAACAATATTCACACAGGGAATTTAATAAATATAAATGCCAACTGCAGGGGCTGGCAAAAAGAGCCGCAGTGTGTGCTAGAATGCGCTTAATTGCCAGGGTTTAAAGCTCTGGAGCGATAGGTACTTGCATAAGAGACAGGCTTTGTCTTCGGAAAATGTCATACGGCTCACGATGACCCCTTGGAAATGGACATTGAACGTGACCTGTCTGTCCAGAGCGGCGCTCACCTGGCTGAAGCTGCTTATATAAAACCGTAAGAGGATTTCCCCGAAAAGACTGGGAGTATTCAAGGGTGCTATAACTAGCTTTGCATATACCACCTCACTTTGGCTTTCAGTCCCTTTGTTTTAGTTGACAATCCAATGTACACTAATTGGTCCTAAAAAACCCTTAACTACTAACCACTTTAACTAAAAATCAATATATTCAGTTTATTTACTTATACTTATTTAAACCACTACTGACCTAACCTAAAATTTAAAAATTTTAAAAATTTTCGATATTAACTTATTTGTATTAAACTCTGAGGTAGCATTTATAAACAAATTCCAGAAAAATATATATGTTTGTTATACTTAACGTGGCAAATTAGATTAATTGGCATATATTATTTGATAAAAATTAAACATTCCGAGCCACTTTAAGTTAAAAAGAACCTCGCTTTAATTTTCAAGCCCAATCTGATTCAAATGTAAGTACAAAACACCCTGGTAAATATTTAATAAGACAACAAGCCCCACGAATTAGCTTTTTCACCGGCAGTGCTTATTTAGCTAATGAATGTATCGTTTCACACTGATGTAATTTCAAATTTAAACAAATCACGGGCTGCACCCAGGTACACATTAGCAAAATTAGTTAAGTCCGAGAAAATCCCTTTCAGAGTGCATTGGATTAATTATACTGCAGAGTCGGCAAAAGTTGCCACGAATGCAAATGAAACAAGTCGCAATTAAAATTCCCCCGAACAACTTAGTAAATATTTAATGCTCACCTAGCCTAATCCTATTGACCATACATTTTGGTTGCCGGCTGCTATGAAAACCAGTATAAAAATCTGCAAAATGACATTTTAATAGCCTCACAACAATATAGAAAACAGATTTCCCCTGCCATTTAGTCGTAAAATGAAATAATACATTTTAATACATTTTAATGGGGCAAACGACTTGTTGGCGCCTGGAAAAGTTTTCAAGTTTTTCCACACACATTTGTTTACGCCGTCTGAGCGTCCAGGATTCATAAATATTTATGGATCGGCAGTCGAATTACAGACCTACAAGGAGATAACATTTGACTGAGCTTATCATGTGACATTATTGTTATTGTTATCTTGTTTATTATGAATAAATGTTCGGAATCATTCCCATCTGCTTGTTCATTTGCATTTCAAAATTTTCCAAAACCCATTCCGGCGTCAAGAAATCTAATATGCCGTGCCGCCTTCATTTCCTATGAAATTTCTTCCATTCAAATGAACTGTAACAGTAGGCGACTTATATTGTTTAGACATCTGCAGAGGTGTAGGAAGTCTGGTTGTTAGGGGGGCCTGTAATTCAGTGGCTGTTCCAAAGACGTAGATAATGGACTTAGACACAACAGAAACGAGTCCTTTGAACTTTTTTGCATGGCAAATTAGAAAACAAACTGAGTTTATTATTTTGATTAAACTTCTCACACAGCGCCAGACATTGTGTGGCCTTGAATGATGATAAGACAGGATTTTCACTGTGATTTCCATTTAGAGTCAGCATTTGTCTTGGCAGGAAAAACTTTGTGACAAAAAGGAAGAATTGCATAAATACACAACTATAATTGGAAAATAGATAAAATGAAATGCCATTTAATAAAGCTGTTGAGTGCTCTATCATATATGGGTTTATATGGTGTATGCGGTTTATATGATTCTGCTTGTTATATGGTTTGCTTAATCCAATACCTTGTAATACTTTTTAAACTTTATATCAAGTATTCGTGCAGTTAAGTACAAATTATCTTATAGTAGCCCTTAAGTTTAAAGAAAATTCGTCCTGACACAGACACTCAATGCTTGCCAAGAAGGCCACCCGCTGGCTTCTGGCTACACAAGCCCTGCAAGTTGAATGTCCTTTTTGCCATTCCTCATCCAACTTGCCGAGTCCCTGAAGTCGCTGTTAGCCACCGCAAACATGCGGCCACATTTTTCAGGACTCCCGGGTTCCCCGAAAGCCAGAACCACTTCTGAACCCCACGGGCGATACCAAGCTGCTACATTGTCAGAGGCAGGCATTGCGAAAATGTCCTCCGGCGATGGATACACTCGGAAAGAAGGGTATACCCAATGAAACTATAACTTTAATTTAAGATTTGTAAGATAATCCCAACTCCCTTCATAAACTGTTCCCCTTCGGCTGTTATAATTGTCTGTCATATTAATCTATTAACCATTTCCTAAAAAAATAACTCAATGTCACTTTTTAAGTCCCCATTTATCCGCTATAAATGACTGTTTATAATTTTTTTTCATAAAACCATAATTGGATTAAGGTTAAAATTAATTATGATTTTATGAAAAACACTTGTAACCAATTAAAAAGGGTTTAAAAATTAAATTCAATTATAATCCGGCTAATAATAACCTACTTTAAACGATAAGTTTTGAAGCGAAAATGTTTACCTGTAAGTAGTAAACAGAAATACTAAACATGGTAATCAGAAATATATATAAGGTGTTCTGAAATTTATTTGCTTGAATCTTTTTGTTTTTTTTTGTGCAGGGGGGCTAAGAGATGACCGTCATTAATCTTCGTGCCACTCCAATTGTCGTTGTGGTATCCGGCCTCAGGTGCAGCATCATTTCCCGGCGCATCTCCTACAAATTCGAGGGGGCAGCGAAACTGACCAGCAAGCCGCGTCCTGTCAAAGGACCTATTTAGATTGGCCGGCCTCAATTAGGGAGTTCCGCTGGCAGAATCAGCCTTTTGGTAGCCTGCGAATTACTTTTTGGCTTCTGGGAATCGAAAGATGGACCGGGGGGGTATCCAATACCAAGTAAAAATTGCTTTTCCAGCTGTTGCTCAGTGTGCGTGTGTGACGCAAATCCTTTGACGACATTCCCAGGATGTCGAAAAGGGTCGAAAAGTGCGAGGGGGGGGTATGGGTACGAAAAGAACTTTCATGGAAAGTGGTTCCTGGGCGGCTGTGCAAACAGAATGCAATGTGATGGCAGGACTAGCGTGTACGACCACTATTGCTTCGCCATCTGGGCTGCTTCAGTACGAAAAAAAAACATCCGCCCACACCATAAACATACTTATAAAAGTTACAAAATGAAGGAAGTAAAGCCAGCCAGTGCATTTTCCTTTTCGGAAACTTTGCAGACTGTGCCCCAAACAATATATCTACTGCGGTGCTGCCTGCTGCCGGCAGGATTTATATATATTCCTGCTGTTGGCTTTGGCTTAAGGGAAATTGCTGCAATAAAATAGTCCTTCCTCTAATTCCACTTAACAATGATGTGAGCCTGTAATGGACGAGTTTCGACTCCACAAGGACCCAGTTGAGATGCTTGGAAGCCGTCCATATGCAGTTTGTTACCCAGGTTAAAAAAGGACATAAAACTAAATCCTATTGCTTTTGTGTCGACTTTGGAGGTCTTTAAGTTGCGTAAGCCTCTAACAATTACCACTGCTAT